AAGCGTAATAGTTCAGCATGAAAGTCCTAAGACAGGAGAACACTACAAGGGGCGCACAGTACTTCCTGAGGATAGGAGATCCCAAGTTCAAAGAACAATATAAATCCTATCTCTAACTAGATAATGACTGACACAGACAACTGACATCAGGAAAAGCTTAAGGAGAGTAACTCAAACCAACAATTCAAAACAAGAATAGATTTCCTCTATCTAATCCACTCCAGAGGACTAACTCTAAGAACTGACACAAATACCCATATATAGCGTCAGATTTACCATCATATCACCTAGAACAACTTCCATCAGAGAAGACATCCTGTGCCATGGCCAAAGACTCCAGACTATCAGTGATCCTCTGAGAATTCTGGATAAAGCCATACAAATGTATCCAGAACTGAAAGAATTCCTGTTTTCATTTAAGTAGCAAAACCACACTAAAAACTCTGAAAACTCACTGCCATCAAGTCAGATCCGACTCACAGTGACCCCTCCTTGGGCTTCCAAGGCGATATCATAATGGAAGTAGTTCACCCAATCTTCTTTCCGAGGAGTGGCTGGTGGGTTTCAACCACCAGCCTTCTGGTTAGCAGTCAAATACCTTAAGCACTATGTTATCAGAGCTCCTACAAAACCACACAGATAAATAAAATTCTCAACTGGAGGGCCCACCAGAAGAGATTTCCAAGCAGGGACGAGAAAAATTACCAAGTTATTCTACACATGTTTTCCCTTACAGGGGAGAAAGCTTAGGCAAAGAAAATGTCTACAAATTTCAAAGCGGTCACTACCATTTTCAAATGAGAAATATGAGTTAAATAATGTGTCTTGCTGTCCATTATTGCAGGCAAGATCCTGACCAAACTATCCTTGGGTAGAAAACTGTGCAAATTATCCCATCACATTCCATCCTTCGCTGCTGAGTGGCTTTGGGCCACTACCTGGAATAGTACACATTATCCAGGCAGTACCAAGATTTCTAAATTCTTATGAGTTCTTTAAAAACATATTTAATTCTGTAAGATGCTTTAAAAATTCAATGTCATGAAAACAAAACAATGCAAGGGAACTGTTCTATATTAAACAAGGTTAAAAGGATATGACAATCAAATGCAATGCATGATCCTTGAATGGATGGTGTACATAAAAAATAAGCCCTAAAGGATAGTTTTGGGAAAATAAAGAAAAATTTGAACACAGACTATATATTACTCTTATCAATGTTAAGTTTCTTGAAAGTGATAATGATATTGTGGCTATGTACCCGTATCCTTAAGACATACATTATAAAATACATAAGGGTGAGGTGTAATGTTTGTATTCATTAACACTGTCAAATGGTTCTTAAAAAAATACACCTATGTAGCAAGGGTTAAAGCAAATATGACAAATCTCTAACAATCAGTGAATCTAGATGAAAGTTACATAAGTGGGACACTGTTAACTGTAGTATTCCTCCAATTTTTCTGAAAGCTTGAAAACCTTCAAAATAAAAACCTGAAGGATATAAAGAAAGAAAAATATACTTAACATTACCTTGGATTTAAGTGTTTATTAGACAGACTCAGGTTTTCAGATAAACAAGATGTAATCAGCTAGTTCAGATTTTTTGTATCCTTTCTCATCCATTCCTGAACAGCAATAAAGTAAACACCTGCACAACTTCTGGCAGACAATGTGGTGTTAATGACGAATTTAACAAGAGGCTAATACATTACCACACATTCATAACCTGGAGTCCTATTAACGGTCTTCAAAAAGATTAAGGTATACCTTCTTGAAAGGAAGACTGGGCAATCTACTTCTGTAGAGATACTGTCTCGGAAACCCAAAGAGGGGTCACTATGAGTAGATATCGACTCAACAGCAATGAGTTTGGTTTTTTGGTTTATATGTAACATCACAGAAAGTGGCTGGAAAGATATTACCTGAATAAAGTAAGCACCAAAGCTATAAGGAATATGATCCAATTCTTTATTAATTTATGAATAATATAAATTATTATTTAACATAAAATATCTAGAGAAATGATATATTGTTAAGAGTGATTACAGGTAGCAGAATTTTATGGCTTACTTTCACTTTCTGTTAGAAATTTGCATTCTGCACATAAACACATATATTGTTTTTATACCAAGTCAAATACATTAAATCACAAACACAGAAATAATTAAACAAGCAAAAATTCTACTAAAGCTACAGCAGTAGGGACCTTTCACTTTGGCTTTGAGATTTGAGCTGGATAACAAAGTGGATATATAAACAGTTTCATCACAATTATGACCAGAATTTATCATTACATGTCAAAATGAAAGATAATAAAGTACCACAATGAAGACTTTATTCACTAATTCATTCACTAAATAAACATTTATTGAAGGCTATTTGTACCTAATACTGTGAATACTGAAATGAATAAGACATGGACTATGCCCTCAAGGGACTTAGAGTCCGCCTGAAGGAACCAGTCAAACAAACAATCCAAAGACAGCACAACAAGTATCAGAGAAATGATGCTCACGCACAACGCCAATGAGCAAAATGCTACGGAGGAGAAGCAACGTCAAACAGCAGCAGAGATGATGTGGCACGGACATCCTCAGACTCAGACACCAGCTGCAGGTTAATGGAAGCAGCAAGCAAGTGTACAACAGATTCATACAATAGTGCTTTCCAAGGTTTGTCATGAAAAATGAAAGCTCACAAATAAAGTAGAAAAAATATAACTCAAAGATATATTAAAATTTAAACTAAGGAATGTAATTCAATTCAAACTTAACTAAGCACGAACTATACCACAAACTCTGCCCAGAGGCGTATGAGTTGAACATTTGCCTCAAGTAGATACACTCTTTGGAGAGAACAAGCATGGGAGAAAGAAGGGCTGCTTATGCACAGGGAGACAGCTCAGGGGGCAGGATTCCATGGAGGGATGGACACTGGGAAGAGGTAACTAGTAACTATGGGGAGGAAGTGGGAAGGGAGCTGTTGCATTGTGGTAAACTGTGGTCAATGACATGAGACAAAGTATATGTGAACTACTGTATGGAAAGTGAATTTGCTCTGTAAATCTTCACCCAAATCACAATAAAAAAAAAAAAATTCTGCCGAGTCAAATTATAAAAATGTAAGTCAGGCCTAGATAGAATAGGAGAAAAATGTACACAAAACTCAAATTCCTAAAAGTGGCCAGATCTAGTGGATCAACAGAGACTAGAGGAACAATCAAGACTATCATCCTACGATAGCCTTTGAACTCAAAATTTAAACTATTTCTGCAGGTCACCTTTCAGCCAAAGAACAGACTGGCTTATAAAATTAATATTATCACTCATGAGCAGTGTGCTCCCTTAAACAATTAACTATATGAGACCAAACAGTCAACAGTTACCAAAAAGCAAAGATCAAACAGCAGGGAGGGAAAAGGAAGCTAGATTGATGGAAACAGAACGAACATAATGGAAATAATGAGAATGCTGACACTTGTAACCAATGGCACAGAACAATCTGTATAAAACTTGTTAAAAGGAAATTGAATTTATTATATAAACTTTCACCTAAGACACAATAAATTATTAGTTAAAAAATAAAACTCAGTTCCTATCCTCAAGGTGCTCATAGAGAAAAAGGTATTTTTCCTCCTTAACTCCAACTGAAATAGAAAAATACCACTAATAAGCATTTAAGGATGAAGAACCTGAAAGAATACTATAAAGGCTACCATTTATTAAGGACTGACTGCGCCAGGGATGCAACCACCACCATAAACAGGGCTAAATCTATCTCAGAATACAAAGCTAGGTTTTAAACTTGGGGCTCTGTCTCCCCCAAGGCTTAGTTCCTGACACTATACTATGCTGCCTCTTAACAACAAAAACAAACAAGGACAAAAAGGGGAAAAGGTCCAAAATATTAAAAATAAAAGCAATACAGAAAATATAAAAAATGTAAGATTTGATGGGTATGTAAAACCAAGGTTTTTAACTACCAGTTATATAGCTGATATTTGTTGAAGTATTAGATTATTTTTTAATTAATACAGTCTATCAATAAAACAAAACTAAAAGGGAAAGGTTTGTGTAACAACTACTACAATTTATAAATGCATTATGGGGGAGTAGGAGGGTTAGCATCAAATTCTCAGTGTCCCCACTGTCAACAGATCATCTTTTGTCTAAATCAGAGGTTGGTAAACTACAGCTTGTAAGCCAAACCTGGCCTGCCATTTGTTTTTATACACAGTTGTACTGAAACACAGTTTTACTAGAATATCCCCATTTGTTTGCTTATTGTCTATGGCTGCCTTCCTGCTACAATGGCAGAGTTGAGTAGTTACAACCATACTGGTCTCAAAGTTTAAAATATTTTTTGTCTAGCCCCTAAAGTTTGCTGACCACTGGTCTAAACAATAACCATATTTATCCCAAACAGTAGAAAAAAATCAGTCAATTAATTTTAAGGCTATTTATGTTTTATCATAAAGTCTGATGTAAGTTCTATCCCTTTGTAATTACTGTCACTTAGTAATGCTAATAAGCTTTTGAATTTCCACAATATGTTCATATTTCAGTTATTTTCCATAGAGCAGATCTTATTTCAGGTACCCAGTAACTTATCCTTCACAGTATTACTAAAAACAAAATTCTAATTAAGGCACAATTAAAATTACCCTCATACATACTTACTCTCCAATTTCATACCATCTACAAAGACACAGACAAGCAAAAGCAGAATACAGAGACAATAGCTGATTTGACCAAATAATTGCTAATATCCTGTTCACACTAGAACATCCCACTCAAAGTGCCATTTAGGACAAACAGCATCAGTATCACCTGACTGCTTATTAGAAATGCAAATTCATGGGCCCTATCCCAGACCTACTGATTCAGAAATCTGGGGTAGAGCCCAAAAAATCTGTATTTTACAAGCACTCCAGATGATCCCTATGCACACTAAAAGTTTGAGAACCACAGCACTAAAACAGAGCTTATATTACTTACTTTGAGTGTGAAAAGGCTGATTCGGCCAGGCAGTTTATAAAACAGCCCCTCTCCCCCTCTTGAATTGGAATGTAGCATGGCATTGAGGCACGCAAGAGGGGATGTCCCACTGTAAAACACACAAAAGGATGGATAAGAGTCACATAAACCCATATGCCATTTATTCAAAGTCCTAATACCCTCCAACTCATTCTTAAATCAAGAAAAGGGGAACAATGCAGGAAAGATCCATGACAATGATTCTGCTATGAAAGCAGTAAGAGTAACAAAATGAAAGTCACACATACCACAACCAAAGACCTCTGGGGTTAAACATGTTACAGAACACCCTACTCCCTATCTAATACTTCTTCAGTGACTTCTGATAATATGAACCATATTCCCAAGTAACTTAGGGAAAAAAAAAACAAAGATTTTTCAAGTTCACTTAGGAGTTTTGAAAAAAAATTATCCAATATTTTAATATTAAATTCCAGTAAAATTTTAAAAATTAAAAACCCAAACTGAATTTCCTAGCATCTACATTTTAACCTATCAGGCTCAAATATTGCCACATGACATTATCAGCACAAAGACCACAGAAGCAAAGATGCTGTCCCAATAAAACAAGCATACTTTTTCAGTTAAGAATTTCTTAATAAGCACACAAAAGGAACAGAAGTTCACCTTGTTTTTTTCTGCAGTGGGAGGAGAGGAGGTTAAGTTTTATTCTACATCTACCAAGGGCAATCATTTAAATTTGAATGTATAAAGAAAAGCAAGTCAGATGGATTTAAAACCCAGTTATGTTCAAACATGAAACCAAAAATGATAGCCTATTAAGCTGTTTCACAGTCTCTGCCACAATGTAGGTTACAAAACAATGACAACTCAGTGAGACAGAGGCTACTTACCAAATCTTTAAAAAGCTGTCAAAAATAGACAAATGCCTATTCTTAACATTAACTCAGTTTGACCCTTGCATGTTAGTGCTAAGGATCACCTAAGCACCTTTTCTTCCCTCTCCCCAGCATGTTAAAAAAAGAGAAATATCTTCAGTCTCTGTGTTTCATTTTTCAGAACTAGAGAGCCTAATTTATGCAATGTTAAAAATAAATCCTAACTCTAAAAAAGCCATTTATAAAAAAGAAGGGGGAAAAAGAAAAAAACACCACCTATTATGTATTCTGCTTTGGAACACACTCAAACCAAAAAAAAAAAAAATGTTCATCAAGAACCAATCTCTCTAAAGAAGCCTTGGGCAGAGTCTGGAGTATCAAGTGGGTGTGCTAACATCTCTGCTACAAGGGAAACTACATGCTGGCAGAGTCCTGTGAGCAATGTGACTCCTACGCACTATACCTCTGTCTACAAATTACAGAGCCGCTCACTCATCACGAGCCACCATGACTGCTTCATAATTTCTATAAGAGGAAGAATGAAGGTTCTCAGTTCCATCTGTCCCAAAGGGACTAATTTACCTTCTATAGGCATAGTGGTCCAACAGCAGTGCAGACAGCAGCATGATGGGAAATAGCCCATAAAAACAAAAATAAAGCACAATTATAACACTACACAATGCATAGCTACTATTTAAATGAACATGATCTAGACAATCCTGATCTTCCCCCCCACAAAATGTCAATTTGAGATGTCTGAACTGAAAATTGGAAAGTAAAGACCTTTTGACCCTAAGAGGTCAATTCAAGCAGCTAAAGCTTGACCAGCAAAACTATATGCCATTTGTTCTGGAACTATGTTATGCCCTCCTTCTTCCACATTTAAATTTTTTTAAAAAAGGAATACCACTTAGCCAGCAGGAGAAACAAAGCCTTGATACATACTACAGTAGTGATGGTGCTAGAAGACAGTATGCTGAGTGAAGTAAGTCAATCACAAAAGGAAAAATACTGCATGACCTCACTTAAATAAAAAGATTAAAAAAGGCAAATGCACAGACAACAAGGTTTATTAGGTTACCAGGAGCAAGGGTGGGGGAGGAGCTACCCTTAATCGAACTGATATATATATATCACCCAACTTTTGCCAACTCAACTTTTTACAGGTGTACAATTGATTGATTGTAATTAAGAGTAACTGGCTGGCAACCCTACCCTTAATCAGTGTGATTATTCTAATTGCTATCAATAAGTTGTACACCTGTAAATAACTGAGTTGGCAAAAGTTGTGTAATAGATATATTTAGAACAATGACAAAAAAAAAAAAGAAAGAAAGAAAGAGTAGCTGCTGAAGCTGCTTACGTCTAACCAAACACTTCATGGTATTTCGTTTCTTGGTTTGGACATTTCGGGTCATGGTTTCACGGGACATCCCAGTTAACTGGCCTAATAACAAGTTTAGGGCTTCTGTTCCATCTCCTAGTTCTTTGCATAGTGCCTGGGGTCTTAAAAGCTTGAAAGCAGCCATGCAAGACACAACAATTGGTCTCTATTTGCTTGGGGCAACAGGAGGAGGAGAAATCAGAAATAGGAGGATGTGGAAGGTATGGCTAATTGCTTCCAAGAACAACTGCCTCCTTTGCCAGGAGACCCCAAGAACCAGATGGTGCCTGGCTCCCATTACTAAACATTTTGATCAAAGATTCCACAGAAGAATCCTGATCAAAAGATGAAAAAAAGGGAACAGAATTTCAAATACTCACAGACTCAAGACTTCCTGGAGCCATGGGGGATGAATGAACCCCTGAAACTACTGCCCTGAGATAATCTTTAAGCCTTAAACCAAAAATATTCCCTGAAGTCTTCTTAAAACCAAACTGTAGTTTAGTGAAAAAAAAAAAAAAAAAAGTCTGTCTTGAGCATTATGCTCTTTTAAGAACGATTTATGTGGGATTAAAGTGAAAAGAGCAACTTGAAAGATTAAACAGGAACTTTAGGGGGCAATGAATTTATGGTCTTGGGGGAGGAATTACTTAGAAAAGAATGGAGAAAATGGTTACACAACCCGAAGACTGTAATCAGTGTCATTAAATTGTACATGTAGAAGCTGTTCAATTGGTGTATGTTTTGCTGTGTATACTGTCAACAACAAAATAAATAAAATTTCAAGAAAAAAGGAAACAGAGGAGAGGAAAAAAAGTTAGGGGTTAAGGGCAAGGAGAAAGTAGTATTAAGGACAATCACTAATTTTCATGTTTGAGTTCCTGCTGTACCTCTTATACTTCTAACTTGTTGCATCTCTATGAAAACTACATAAAAGAAAAATCAATGATCCCTCAAAATTCAGTAAATTTATATCATGAATGGCTAGAATTAGCATGGAAAAAAGCCAGTGGATTTTGCACTCAAAAGACCACCCCTACCCTAAAAGAAAGGACTTCAGAAGTATGATGTGGAGGAGTACAGACTACAGTGTCTCAGGGCCTCATCCTTCTCTATTACTGAAACAAAGTCCAAGAGAGGATATGCCCTCACCTCTTACAAAATAAACAAGCTTCATGTCCAAGATTCAAGGGGGAGCAAAGATGGGGAGAGCCACTACTACATCTCTGAGGAAAAGAGAAGGATGTTCACCCACTCCTTCCCAGAGGACACAACCTGGGAGATAGTTCACCACCACCACCCCACACACAAGCACATAAAAATATACATGTATACTCACATCACTACATAACTACAGAAGTCACATGCCCTGTGAAACCCTCATGTTAAGCAACAAGATCAATACAAACCTCATTTCCTTTAGTCCTTCTGCCTCTATGACCTGCAGAATCTGTTTTGGTGTCATTGGAGCATCCGAGTAGTTTTCTAATACCTGAAGAAATACAAATGTCCTGATTCAGTGTGCAGTTTTTCCATTCACATCCATCAATCTGCATCATGGACTACAGTCCTGCTAGAAGGACCAGCAGTGTCATTATTACACATATATCCAGTTATTGGATATGATTGCAATTACCTGAAATTCTCTAATTCTCAATTCTAAGAACACACATCTTCTTAGCAAACAGGATGTATATATATATAAATACATATACACACAATGTGTATACGTATACATATATACACATATACGTGGGGCCCTAGTAACCTTGGTTAGTACTTAATTTGACATTGTTAACGTAACTAAACCACAGAATACACAGTGCTGCACAATAAATTAACACAAAAAAGCGTTCAGATTTTCTCTTCTAAGGATGTTTGATTACTGCTCATATTTTTAATATGATGCTTTTGCTACTATGTTGTAAAATCCTGATGTTTACATTTTGCCAGTTGACAACTTTATTCGGCAACTCCATGTGACTGGTGCAAGCAAAACCATGAAAAATGGAATGTCCCATTTATGTTAGCATCACTTAAGAAGTTGAGTTGTTTTAGAAATGCTATTCTTCTAAGTGAAGAAAGACAGGCTGTCAATATCTTCGTATTTTCTCTACCTGTGTAGCTGCTGAGGTTATTCTAAACCAAACTAACATTTTCCATTCTTTACCAATCATAATAACAAAGTATGACTCTATCACAAATGTAAAGCTAGCAGCTTCACACAGAGTATCTTCAGCAGCAGTCTAAAAGAATACAAGCCCTTAGCACTAAAGGAAGTCAACGTTTAGAGAAATAGATGTTAAAGTAAAACCTCTATTTACCACAATCCCATTCTGAGCCTTTTTTTTCTCAATTTTCATATTCTCCTTAGGTAACATAGTATCTTACAGTTTCAACTACCACCTGAATTCTGTTAACTCCCAAATCTCAACCTCTCACCTTGACTTCTCCCCAAACTTCAGACTCAAATATTCAATTCTGTGCTGAATATCCCTCCTTGATCATCTATACCATGTTTTTCCACATATAATGCACCCACATAAAAAACATGTACACATATCACCCACATAAGAAGCTAACACACAAGGGTTGCACAGTGTGTGAAAACTGTATAACATGCATGTTATCTGTGTAAAAACACAGTAAACCAGGCGCTGTCAAATTGATTTTGACGTATGACAATCCCATCTGTGTCAGAGTAGAACTGTGCACCACAGGGTTTTCAATGGTTGACTTTCCAGAAGTAGGTCACCAGGTCTTTCTTCAAGGTGCCTCTGGGTGAACCTGAACCACCAACTTTTCAGTTAACAGTGGAGTGCTTAACTGTCTGCACCACCCAGGGACTCCAAAATCAGCTGCCACCACATCAGGTCTGACTCCGTATGACTCTGGGTGAACTGAAGCTGCCAACCTTCAGATCCACTCCTATTATGCTACCGTAGGTGGCAGCCTGTCCAGTCACCTAAATCAGAGGCATCGTCCTTCACTCTCACCTCTCCCTCAGCCCCCAGTCACTCTTACCCGACCCAACCCAACAGCCTCTTCACTGATAGCCGTGTGTCCAGCCCTGCTTTTCTCAAATCCATTCTTAATCTGAATACCATCCTTCATTTACCAAACAAATGGAGCACCTACTCTGTGCCAGGCAGAATTCTAGCAACTCCTTCCTCACTAAACAAGACCATAGCTGAGGTCACCCCAACAAAGCAAACCTGTCCTATCACTTTGTTGCTTTAAAATCCTTTAACATCTCCCTAATCATATAAAGCAAAGCTGAAGCTTCCAGATCAGTTTGGACCCCTAGAAAAGCAGATGCTTTAGAACCAATCAGATAGCTCTGGATTTGAATGAATTCTGGCCTTCGAATCACTAGCAAGTTACCTATTCAACTTGAGCCTTGGTTCCCTCACTCATGCATAAGGATACTAATGTCTGACTTGTTTTACCAATCAGAGAGAATTTAAGTGCCACACCAACAGTGCCTGGCACAGAATAGGTGCTCAGTAGCATGACACACAAAAATTTTATGCTCCAATAACTACTTGTAGTTCTACTCCACTCTCACATTCTCTACCCTGCAAATGCACACATACACCTCTGTTATTTCTTGTCACCAGCTCCTGCTCATGCCCTGTGACAAGACTAACTCCTACTCACCCTTCACAAGTCAGCTCAGAGAGCACTTTCCTTCAGGAAGCCTTCTCTGGTTTCTGCCAGGCACAGCTAAATGTCTCTTTTCAGTGTCCCCATAGTTCCATAACACATATAATTTATCTTCTAAACCAAGAAACTTACGAGTGAAAAGGGAAACTATTAATAATTATGCCTAGACAACAGGCAGGAACTAATCCATCTGTTCACTCTATTTTATATATCTATGATGGCAGTTCTGGTAGCATACTGCCTAAGGCACTTGACTGCTAAACAGAACGCTGGCGGTTCAAACCCACCAGCCACTCCTCGGAAGGAAGATGGGGCAATCTACTTCCGTAGTGATACTGCCTCGGAAACCCAAGGAGGGGTCGCTATGAGTCGGGTCTGACACGACGGCACTTAACAACAACAACAACAACATGATGGCAGTTATCATGCCTGGAATGAAATTCTATCCATGTGGCTGGATTCTCCTTACCCCTAAAACACCATAAGCTTCTCAGGGGGGCAAGCCTTATCTATCTTTGTACGCCAAGAATCTAACCAAGAACCAACATAGGAAATACTGACCTGAACCAACCCACAATAAAAACTATACAAGTTGCTAATGTTCACTACCACAAAGTACCATTTCTTTGATACTAATTAAGTGTGAACTAAGCTAGTGATTTTTTTTTTAGGGTCTTTTTGTTTGTTTGTTTTTGAAGAAGTAGGACTCTAAAAAATTATCTACCAATTATTTAAACAGCAGGCAGGAAGAGCCTGAGACTCTAAACCCAGGGAAGCAAAATTTCTAAAGGAAAGTTACATCAAAAGATACAAAGTATTCTCTTTTATTAAAATGCTCCCAGCCTTTAGTACAACAACAATGCAGCAGTATTCTAGTCCTAGTATACACACACACACACACAAAAGCGTACACTAGTTGTTTTTTTTTTTTTTTTAAGTATCTCTTCTTCTACTTCAAAGGGAAAAAAAATGTTTGATGTAAGAATGGTCAGTCATGAATCAAAGTGAAAGATAAAGCAGGCAATGAAGAATTTCTCAAAGCCAGAGAGAATCCATTTAAGGGCACTCAGTTTGAAGGGAAATCCCCTCGGCTATCTTCTCCCAAACAAATTGCTGGTAACTTAACAAGGAAGAGGATTTATACCCACCCAACCTTGGAAAGTCTACCTCTTAAGTCTAGAAAAGACACTTCAAAATGTTTGGAAAAAGAATATCCACTTCTCAATGACCTAATGAACCTGTGCAAAAATCAAATCTCCTGGAGTACAGGCAGTCCCAGGGTTACGAAGCTTGACTTACTGCAACCCAGTTACAAACTCAACCCTCCCCTTCCCCATAAAGCCTATTATTTATGAAAAATTTGAGGTACAATTGTTGGTAATAACGGGTGCTACTTTGTGACCTACATCAACACATTATTACTGTTTTATTTTATGTTAAAGATGTTTTAGTGTATCTGCAAGTATTTAATGTTCTGATGCACAGAAAGGTAAACAGTACACTATATACTAAAACATTTGCGTGAGTGACCTCAGATATGAACTATACCTCACTGTTCCAACTTACGTACAGATGCAATTTAAAGACCGACTCAGGAACAGAAGTCGTTAATAATCCAAGAACTGCCTGTATGCTACTATTCTACTGGAATTCTCAGAATCTGCCTTTTTCCTCTACTGAAATAGTTTTTTAAAAGGCTATCCTAGCCACCAATCTGAGCAAGGCCAGGAGCAATCTGAAACTACCCCCAAGCAAGTGCATCTGATTGTGTTTTCAAGTATCCAAATTCACCTGTTGAAAGAGAAGTATTCAGGTAACCTAACTGCCCCACCTCTGGTAGCATAGTGGCTAAGACACTTGCCTGCTAACCAGACGGCTGGCTGGCGGTTCAAACCCACCAGCCACTCCTCGGAAGGAAGGTTGGGCAATCCTACTTCCGTAGTGATACTGCCTCGGAAACCCAAGGAGGGCTCACTATGAGTCGGGGCAGACTCGACGGCACCTAACAACAACAACTGCCCTACCACTACTCATCACTCCTAGTCAGACCTCTCTGTCCAGTCTAACTCTCACAAACTCTCCCGCACTCTGTTACAGCAAACTTAAATTTAAAAAGGGGGGGGGGGAGAAGAGGTCTCCAAAAATTTCTCCTTATTCACCAAACAATCCCATTCAAAGAGATGAAAACTAAAGGACATGCAAAATTACACATATTTCCACAAGTCCTCTTTCACATGTATAAATGCACCATAAATTCCTATTCCTATTTTTAATGAAAAGAACTTGCTTGTATAATCTAGCATGAAGCTGATCCATTGATAAAAGAGAAATAGCCTGGACATTGGAGCTCAGATCACAATAAATTCAAACACCTGAAGAGGCTTAACGGCAATGCACCCCAAACTCCCAAAGTCTTTCAAGTACTAGTAAGAGCCAACAGAGCTTTGAGACAAATAGACTTGAGAATTTTGTGAAGACATAAATAACACAGGATTTAAAGGTACTTTCACCTACTTCTAACAAGTAAAATTCTGGCAAGCAAATTAACTCTGTGAGCCCAGAGTCATAAACACCTGCATAACAGGAACTCAGAGGACAGTTTCAATGAGCACCCAAGACTCAGCCTCCAGAAAAAAACAGAATACATCCTTTTGGTGCTCCCCTACTCCCCCCAGCCCCTTTCAGGCCTAAATTTGTTTCCAGGCAAAGCAACATTGGAGAAATCCTGAAATCTCCAAGAAATCCTGAAAGTTAACCAAAAACTTCTGATTTTATTTCAATCAGAAAAATATTTAGGAAGTTCACAATCTTCAAATTTCACACGCCAAACCAAATTAACAGAAACAAAAAACTTTCCGCACAACTGCTCTGTCTGTTCCCTGGCAACAAATGCCCAGGGAAGATGATCAGGAACTCCACTGAAGATACTCCTATGGATCAAACAAACATCTATAGTCCTTGGAAATCAAGAAATCGAGTTTTACAGGCTCCAAGAAAGAAAGAGGCTTGTATTAACTTCAACACCTATTCATCTTTCTTTGTACAACACCTCTGAAGCAGGAACCTCACTTACTTTCCCATAAAATGAAAGATTAGAAGGTTGAAACTCATTCATCATTAAAAGTGAATTTGAACAACTACACATAAACTACTGGGTGCCAAGAGACAAGTATACCATCTGCATTTTAACTGCTCTGTGACAGTTCTGAGGAAGTAACATCCTTAGGCAAAGTATACCTGTTACTATTGTCATCAGCAAGATTTTACAAGAACATGTCTCAAAGTGTCTTAGCTTTGTGGGTGCAAATCCAAAAGGAGAGATATTTCACTTACAAGTTCTCTGAGGCTTTGCAAACGAAAATTCACAACCTCCCCTCACCAGGCAGCTTCAAACACTTAAAATTACTCTTTCCTTTGCCAAGCAGTATCTTCAAACAGATACTTTTGTCTTTCTCCAACACTTCATGTACACATGCATCAGGACACTGAGGAATGGAGAACACACACATACATTCTTCGGAAAGTGTGATGGTCAGTTCTGTCCAAAGTGTCTGCCGTGGCTCTAGCTTAGGAAGTAAAACACTTTAGTCAGCGTTTCTCAAAGTGTGGTCTGTGGGCCACTTGCATCGGAATCACCTGAGAAGCTGGTTAAAATGAAGTGTCTCAGGCTCTACCTCAGAATCTCGGAGTCAGTCTATCTAAAGTGGGACTCTAGAACAAACATTTCTGCCCATCTCCCAAGTGTCCCCACAGGATACTAAAGTTTGATAACCACAGCTCAGGGTTCAAGCTGGGAGTAAGCACGTGCTTCATTCCACACACCTGGTTTATATTGAAAAAGCTCAAAATGCCACTGCGTCCTTGAAACTGGGGGCTTTTCCACGCCCGAAGTCAAACCCACCACCCCATTACCCACCAGGAAGCGAGGGAGGGGCTTCCAACCCTTCCTGGAAACCTAATTCCCCTGGGTGAATAAACGAAGCTTCCCCAGACCCCCAGACGCCGCCAAATTGTGGGGGAGGGGAGGCTGGGGCCCCGCCGCCCGGAGGGGGAGGAGCAGGCCGGCTGGCTCGCCCCTCCGCAGGAATTTAGAGGGGGGCGTGCAGAAATGGGCGCCACTGCCCGCCGGACGGGGGACCCCCACCCAGCTCGCGCTGGAAAGGTTGTCCCGTTCCCAAACGAAGCGTGGCCCCGCCCCCTCCCGCAAAAAACAGGGCTTCGCCCCTCCCCCTCCTCGTGGGGGTACGCGGCGAACCCACCCCCATACCCCCTACTGAGCCCCCTCAGAGGCCGGCCTCACCAGGCGCGCGGCCTCAGCCCACGTGCGCTCCTTCTTCCTCTTCTGTTTGTCCTTCATTCTCCTCCTCCCCGGCGGCGGTGGCGGCGGCGGCGGCAGCTCCACGCGGGACCTCCGGGCGGGGCGGGTTGGGGCGGCGGCAGAGGCGCGGGGCGGCGGCAGCGGCGGGGGGGGCGTGGCGGCGGCCACTATAAAGAACTCGGGTGCGGCCGGGGAGAGGGGGCGGGCTCACGGAGACCGGCTGGAGCGAGACCCGGCGCGAGGGCGGCGGTGGGGGAGGGGCGGCGGTGGCTCCACGCGCTCGCGCTGCGTCAGTCGTCCACGGCGGCGGTGGCGGTGGCGGCCCCGCGATCGCTAAGGAATGCGGCGGCTCCGCATTACCATGGGGTCAGAGGTCACTGCTTCGGCCTCCGATTTCCCGCTTCACTGAAGGACCGAGACAGGACGGGCGGCGGGGCAGGAAGGCTTTTCCTTCGGCGCCGGGGTGTATGCGTGTCTGCCGTGGGTGTGTGTGAGTGTGTGTGAAGAGTGAGGAGGGGGAGTGTGGGTTTTTTTTTTTTTTTTTGAACAAAAACAAACCGAAAGGGCAACTGGGAATCGTAGTCCGGGTTGCCTCTCTGGCCTCTCCCGCTCCGGAAGAATATGGCTGCGTTAAACACTTGGACCGCATTTCCCGGCGTCCTTCACGGCCCGTCTTTTCCGCTCTCTCCCTCCCTTCCTCCGCTTCTCGCAGAGCTGGGTGAAGAAGGGGGACGGGACATCGTTCGGGGAAGGCACTGGGTGGAGTCTCGCGATGTCCGGGAACTGGATGGGGGCCTGAGGAATTCTGGGACGCTATGCTGGGAAGGGGCGTTGGCCGAACTCCCCCGAAAAAACCAAAAACCAAACCTATTTTGGTGGAGTCTATTGCGACTCATAGCGACCCTATAGGATGGAGTAGAACTGCCCCATAGGGTTTCCAAGGCTGTAAATCTTTACGAAAGCGGTCAGCCACACTTAACCCCTTTGGTGCCTTGGGCCGCAGGGCTGGTAAGTAGGGATCATGAATTAGGAGTTGATACCTGGTGCACACTCTGTGTCTCCCCGCCTAAACGCTTCTCACCTACATTTCTCGTAGGTGACAAAAGGCAGGACTTTCCCTTTTGGACCGCCCCTAAATGACTCATCGCCGCATAATAATGAGATAAGACACTCATACCAGTAAAACGGTTATTCCACAATTGACAGACCTAAGCAGTTCCCCATTTCTCCTGTGCTTTGCTGGCGCCATGTGTGTGCACTGGCTGCACTTGCAGCCTAGAACGCTCTAATTACTTGGTGAACTTTGTGATATGATGACGGGTGTTGTAAAGAACTTGGACTTTGGGGCCCACTGACCAGAATGCACCCAAGGCCTTATTCTCCGGACTAAAACAGCCCTAAGTCAAACGGACCTGCACTGGAATCTTGGCTGAGCCACACTCCCTGGCTGTCGGCCCAAAACGAGTGGCTGAACGCACCTCTCTGAGCTCTCATAGACAGCATGAGTCTAATACTTAACGGCATTATTGGGATTAGAATTAACATAAAACCTTAGGCGGACCTTGACATTAGCTCCATAGACTTTGGCTCCTGGCATACAGCAAATATTTAATAAGTGGTAGCTGTTACCAGCAGGTGAGAGACAATGGGTAAAGTCCATAGCCTCTCTGAGCCTTGATGGCAGCATGTTAAATAAGAGGGTCAGAGCACCCAGCATACATGTTTCCTTGGCCCGTTTGTTGAATCAAAGGAGCTCTGGTAGCATAGTGACTAAGGCGCTTGACTGCTAACCAGAAGACTCCTGGGAAGGAAGATCGGGCAATCTACTTCTGTAGAGAAACCAAAGAAGGGGTCGCTATGAGTCGGATCTGACTGGCCACAGTGCGTTTGGTTTGGTTTTGGTTTTGTTGAATCAGTGTGGGAAAACATTCCCAGAGTCAGTGCTGAACTGGATTAAGGGCCTGCTCTTCACATCTAAGAAAGCTGGGTCAACGTGGCCGCACTTGAAATTATTTCTCTCAGAGAGGAAATACACTCCTTGCTTCGTGGTGTTAAGTCCAGGAGAGCCAGTGCTGAGAGACCACTGTTCCTGCGCTGCCTACCCTCTGCACTCAGGTGACTGCTTGCTTCTGATCCAGTCACCCAGATTTCCACACTCAACAAGATCCTGCAAAGTGAACAGACTGTGCAAGGTGAAATAAAGCATGCTTCTTTCCCTTTTAACTTCACCGCGAGGAGGAGAGAGGAGTAACAGCCCCTCAAAAATGAAGAGAAATTAGGTGATTTTTTTTTTTCTTAAATCTACAACTGACACATTAACCTTTGTCATTTGACTTGTTTCACATTTCTTCTTGAGTGGCTTCACCTCTTTGATCTCCAACAAATAACTAGAAAAGATTCACTCTAAAAATAACGTGTTTATTATGGGCACTGGGAGTAGGCAGAATATCCTTCCCTCCCCATCCCCAACGAAGCTGTGTTGTTGTTGTTGTTTGCTGTCCAGTTGGCCCGACTCATAGCGACCCCTCCTTGGGTTTCCGAGGCAGTATCACTACGGAAGTAGGATTGCCCAACCTTCCTTCCGAGAAGTGGCTGGTGGGTTTGAACCGCCAGCCTTCTGGTGAGCAGTCAAGTGCCTTAGCCACTATGCTAACGAAGCTGTCCACACCCTAATTCTGTGAACTTGTGGATTTGTCACATTACATGACAAAAGTGACTTCAAACATGGAGGTTAGTCTGAATTATCTAAGTGGGTCCAGTGTAATCTCATAAGCCTTTAAAAATGGAAGGGGAAAGCAGAAGACATGCTTTGCAGCGATGAGACAGAAAGTAAAGAAACACTGAAAGCTTCAGAGGCACTTGATCCACTGTTGCTGGCTTTGAAAGGGGCCATGAGCCAACGGCTGTAGGCAGCCTCAAGAAACTGGAACAAGCCCTGCCAACAGCCAGCAAAGAAACAGGAACCTTAGTTCTGTAACCTCATGGAACTAAATTCTGACAATATCCTGAATGAGACTAGAAAACATTATCCTCCAGGAAGGAACACTGTCCTGTAGACATAATGATTTCAGCCTTATGAGACTCTTAAGCATAGAACCAGCTGAGTCACATTGTGTCCAGACTTCTGATCTACAGAAAGTAAGATACATAGATGTTTTAAGCTATTAAAGCGTGTAGTGACAGCAGTGTAGTTACAGCAGCAAACCCAAACTAAACCCACTGCCGTCGAGTCAATTCCCACTCACAGTGCCCCTACAGAACAATGAGAACTGCCCACAAAGTTTCTAAGCCTGTAAATCTTTGTCTCATCTTTCCCTTGGGGGGTTCAAACCACCGACCTTTTGTTGAGCAGCTCAATGCCCTAACCACAGCACCACCACAGCTCCTTAGTTACGGCAGCAAAGGAAAACTAGTAAGGCCTTTTTAATTAGCAAACACTGACTAGTTCTCACACCTGGACCAAGTCATGGAGGGATCCAGATGTGACTATTTCAGGGTCTCTGCCCTTACAGAAACAAATAACAATGTCATTATGAAGTGTGAAAATAGAGTATATTCAGACTACTAAACAAGGTATGTTGGAAATTTTACTTATTAAACCTAAAGTAGTTGTGATTTTTTAGGTTAATGAAACTCGTGAGTAATGAGGTACACCCAAAAAAAAAAAAAAAAAAAAAAAACTACATTTTTGGTCTGTGTTTTTCTGTTTTTATCAGTGCTTTTATTAAAAATTCTCTTTAGAAGTCAACACAGGTGCCACAGTAAGATAAATAAGTCTGATGCTCAACCCTCCCCTGTTTGAGGATGAGTCACTGTTTTCACACTGCAGTTATGAGCAAAGCACATACTCAGAAATCTGAGTAACAAACATGCCACCAACCGCTAACCTGTAATCCCCAAAAGGACATATACGTACCCCGAACCTCACTGTGAGAGGATGTACTACCACTGTCTGTGAACTTCAGCAGGCCTGGGTTTGAATCCCCTTGCAATCTTCTCCCAGCTGTGGGGCCTTGGGCATGAAATCTGCCATCATTTGGACAACTGGAACATCGTAACAAACTCAAAGGGGGAAAGTGGATTAAATAGGACTTTTGTAAAGTGCCTGACACAGAGACACTAAATGCCATCTCCTTCTCTGTGCCCACTTGGAGAAGGTTTAGTGTCCGAAGTATAAAAAGTGCCTCATTGTTATACTTCAGTGACCAAGCCCTGAAGCAAGGTTTGCCACCCTAGCAAATGTTGTCTGTTCTGGTTACCTAGTGCCGCTCTAACAGAAGATACCATAAATGGGATGGCTTGAACAAACAGGAGTTTATTCTCGTACAGTCTGGAGGCTTTAAGTCCGAGTTCAAAGTGCCAGGCTCTAGGGGCTGGGTGAAAGCCCCTCAGCCTTGGGCCTCAGCTTTGCCTCCTGCTCTGGGCCCACTGAAGCTAGAAGCTTTTCTTTACTCAGACAGCTGCTTGCTGCTGAGGCTGACAAGCCCAAGGTTGACAAGTAAAAAGGCACATGTTACCAAACCACATGGCAGGCCATTAATTCAAGTCCATTGAAAGTCCCAAGGTTGGTAGGGCATGGTAGGCTGCTGAGCAATGACACAGCTACAAACAGGGTTCAAGAGTGCCATAAGCTAGTGACCATTCCCCAAGGCTTCTCCTTATACACAGGAACCGAACCACGTCCCTAAAGCAGTTACTCAGCTGCTCCCAGTAGATTCCACCATGGAGCTGATTGCCAGTCTCATCATGGGGAATACTACATCCAGCTGCCCACCCACTCAACCAGGCTCAGCCAAGTTGACACACAAACTGAACTACCACATTGTCTCAATAACTAGGAGTAGAGCTTACCTCCATTTCCAAATGAAATTGAGGTTCAGAGAAGTCAAATTACCTCCTTCAGGTCCCAGATAAAATGAGATCATGTTTGCTAAACTTTCTGCAGGGAAGATGATCAACAAATGTGTAGCTCTCCTGCTCCCTCCATGTTTCACTTCTTTGTATTTTGGGTTTAGTGTCTGTGCTCCCACTAGCATTTA